TTTGCATTTAACATCAATTTTCCTTTTTTAGCCTCTTTTAAAGAGTTCAGTTCCCACTTTCAGCCATACAGGAGTTCAGCTGGAGGTTAAATTACAGTGGGAGCTAATTTCACATAAACAAACAAACACACATTCATTAAGTATTGTGATGACACGCCAAACATTTCTCGCTCTTCTTCAGTAGAGTGTGACCCTCTCATGACCCTGTCAAATGTACACAGTCTCCAAAACACATTCCTTCCTTCGGCAAAATAACCTTTCGCAACCTTTTTTAGCATGCAAACAACCTCCAGAGACAAACCGTGTAACCTCAAAGGCATTCGAAATGTGTTCATTCAATTGTCTTAATCAAATTATGATTAATTCAATCAAAATGAATGACATTTCTTAATCAATTAGAATTTAATCAGACTATGAAGCCTTTACTCCCAGTGTACGTTAATGAGGAATAAACAAACCAAAATGACACCAACAAGTCAACCAAAACACAACTTGACAAACTATGCATTTTTTTTTTACCTGACATTTGCCTTGTAGTAGTTTGTAGTGCTCATCTGACCGCTGTATAGTACAAAGACTACAGCCCATGGTGGAAACCCATCAGCAAATATTACACCGACTCCAAAATGTGATCATAAAAAGAGAGTGTCTATAGAGCCTGAAGCTTACAGACACAACAACTTCAGCACGAGTCTGTGTTTGTGTCTGTAAGCCACGCATGTGAGAGCTTGTTCCCTCCTCCCATTCACTGCAGCCATCTCTCCCTCTCTCAGTAAAGTGTTGTCTATATCCTCAACTACGTTGTTTTTATAATCATAAAAACAATTCAAACCCGTAATCAACCATCCACCACATTACCAAAGATTATAATAACCACGTTCCTCAGGTGTGGCGCAACAGAGGCTGTTTTGTAATGTGCGGAAACAAGTCGTGAAAATGCTTTGTTGGGGGCCAATTAAAAAGCTCACTTCTCCAATTACTGGCACGAGCATGTCGATAGGAAAATTCTTGCTATAAAATGAGCAGTTCCTGTTATGTCAGAGTGCTCAGCAGCGGTACAACAGCAACCAGAGGGTGTTGTTATTTGTTATTCCTCCAAAAGTACATGAATGCTCAGCCTTTGGGTTCCAGCTTGTGATGTAATCTGGCATGTCACAGACAGGGTTACATGTGTTCATTGATTCGGACCGCATTACTGCAGAAATGAACAGAACTTAATGGTTCATGATATGAGGAATCCATTTTTCAATTATCTTTTCACATATAAGACTTCACTGTAGCATAAAAACAAATTTATTTGTAAGTTTCAGTATTCTAAATGTATCTACCAATGCTCTTTTGATGATCTATCCATCCAAGCCGTAAAAAATTACAGCCAGTAAGACTTTCTATTTTTAAAAATAAATTATTACTTTTATACATCAAGGATGTATTAAACTGATCAAAAGTGACAGTAAATACATTTATAATGTGATAGATTTCTATTTCAAATAAATGCTGAATTTTCTATTCATAAAGGAATCCTGGAAAAAAATAAAATGCAGCAAATCAGCTGCTGAAATTTCTCAGAATGATTTCTGAAAGATCATGTGACACTTAAGACTGGAGTAATGATGCTGAAAATTCAGTTTAGGAATAAATTACATTTGAAAATATATTTAAAAAAGGAAAACTTATTATAATAATATTCTCAATATTACTGTTTTACTGTAGTTTTGATCAAATATCTTGATGTGAACAAGAGAATTCTCTCAAAAACTGGATTTTTAGATTGCTCTTGAATTATATTTTAATCTAGAAATGTAAACATTAAGTTTATTACATTTTTATTTCACAAACTTCAAATCAGATTTCATGAGTAAGACTAATTTAACAACTGCTCTGAGTGATTTAGCGAGTTAATTTAGTGAAGAATTCATCTTAATTGTAAACAGTCTTGAATGATTTATTAAAAGATCCAGTTCATAAGAGTCATTTGAACCGGACTTCACTGGTGGCTCTGTATGTTTGTTTTTGACAACAGCCTGAAAGGACAAATTAACAGAGAAAGATGTAAATTATTCAGATTATTCACAGTCTTTAGATCACTTCTTGTCATTTCAGTAGTGGCAGGAGTTTTTATGGGGTGGGGTCGCTGGTCCCACGCCCAACCCTCCTCCTTTATCCGGCCTTGGGACCGGCATGTCCTACCCTGGACAGGTGGCAACCCCCTCCTTGCCGATCTTGACTTTGCCGATGATAGCATTGTTTTCGGCCCGACCCAAACTGCCCTACGAGATCTCACTACAGCCCCAGAAAATTAAGCAGCCAGTGCTGGACTCTGAATCAGTGGACAAAAGACCAAAGTTATTTACATCGGTTGCAAAACTCGAGAGTCCTGATTACCATCAGAGGACAACAGGTTAAAGAAGTGGCGAACTTCACTTATATTGGCAGCGTCATCTCCTCGCACAGAGTGCTATGTTGTCTGTCGCATCGGCAAGGCATCTGCCTGTTGGACGTTTTCCACCTCTGATGTCTGCGACACATCCTCAAGATCACTGGGACCATGTTACGAACGTGGACGTATACCGTCACGGCAACGCACGGCCTCTCTCCGTGACGTCACAGAACACGGTTTGCGCTTAGTCTGATACGTCTTATGCCTCCCCAACCACCGGCTACTTAAGACAGCAATACTCTGTCGGCCTGCACAAAGCAAATGAAAACAAGAATGACCAAAAATCACCTGCCGAAGGACTTTCATGGACGACCTGCCAGCAGCTAACATTCCATGGGGTGAGGCTGAAGTCGCAGCCGTTGGAGAACACTTGTCACCCTATGCGGAGGACTTAAGGTTAAGGGTAAAGGATTCAGTCTTTATCTCATTCAGCCTGCAAACTCACATTCACAACACAAGTTAAATATGATCTTGCCATGGAATTGAAGACTCCGCAGTAGTTGGAGATTCAACCAGCAGCTGGAGCTGTGACTCGGTGCTTAGCCCACATGCTCTGACACATTGAGCACCAGAGCTCATGTGGGTGATGCGAGTTTGAATCAAACGTGAGCTTTACAGATTCTGTTTCCTCCTCCTTATCATTTCCTGTCCTATCCAAAAGGGGGAAAATGCATATTTGCATATGAAAACACCAAGTTAAGTATGGTGAAAGGGAAGAAAACAGTATGGCAGACGCGGTGTAATATTGGTGGCTGTCAGCCATGCAAACACACATGACAACCAGACACATGGTGTTCTCTGTGGAAAGAAAAAGCAACATTTCCTCCTTCCGGATCAGTGACGGCATACAATATGTATTGGGCACATACTTAATACGTATGCAAACACTGAAGGAAGCACATGGTAAAAGCAGCGGTAAAGGGTTGAATGGCCCTTTACATTTATGTATGCTGATATCTAGATATCATTAAGCTGTTCCTCAGGGTCTATATAATCCTCTCATATGGCTCAGTGCTCCATCAGGCTAATGAAAATCTCTGCTTGAGGTTATGCATCACTGAGCTGCAGTGTCTGCCGCAGTGCATACAGCCAACTTAAAGGTGAAGTGTGGCTTTTTACTTGTACTTTCTCAACCAATGGCATGAGTCATTATTTTTGCAATTACGCTTGCTAATGCAAGTGGTGCAGAAATTAAACCCTTCTAAAAATAATTTAATTGCAGGAACCTCCAGTGTGGAATCAATATTATACATTTGTCAAGAAATTTGTAGCACTGGTGTATAATTGAACAAATCTATTACAGAAACAAAGAGCCTTATCAGTTCTGTGCGTTGCAGAGATTCATAGCATCTTTGGACAGCTGTGCTGTAGTTCATTGTAGTCATATCTTCTATTTCTGCCTGTAAACTGAGGAGAGATGAGTCAGTTTGCGGAAGAACACAGTGTCAGGACTGAGTCACCTTTTGTGACTGTGCTGAAAGCTGCTCAGTCTCTTTTGAACATCTCAGGAAAACCTTGACTCACTCTTCTGTTCCATTCTTCTATTCTAATCCATCTGGACTGTTATATGAAAGCATTATGAACCCTGCTCTATTATATACACTACTAATCATACACTACTGTTCAACTTGTAATATTGTGAAATATTACAATAAAAAAAATAAAAAAATTAAAATACAATTTAAAATAACCTAATATTCCTGTGATGGTAAAGCTGAATTTTCAGCATCATTACTCCAGTCTTGATGCAGTCAAGTCATGCATTTTTGTTCAGGCTGTTTTGATAAATAGAAAGTTCAAAAGAACAGTATTTATTTGAAATAGAAATACTTTGTAACATTATGTCTTTACCGTTACTTTATCAAATTAATGCACTATAGCTAAATAAAAGTTTTAATTTCCAGGCCAGGAAAAGGCAGAAATGACAAGTGCAAGAACCAGGGCAGAACTGACAGAAACAGAAGCCAGGGAGGAGTTGAAAGCAGGAGAAGTCAGGGCAAAGACAGAGGCAGGACAAGCCAAGGTGGAGTCGCCAGCAGAAAGTCCAGGACGCAGGCCAACAACAGAGTCAAGAGAGGGAGGAGCCATGGTGGAGCCCTACCAGGCAAAACCAGGGAGATGACAGACTGAGATGGAGCCAAAGGAAGTAGAGACTCAGGCAGAGCCGAGGAGACGAAGAACTGGGGTGATGGTGAAGGTCTGGAGGGCCGTGGCTGAGATGGTGGCTCGGCCGGGTGGGGCAGAGCTGGAGGGAATGAGGACCAAAGTGGAGCCGGAGGAAAGGAGGCGCCCGACAGAGCCAAAGGGATGGAGGGATGAGGCGTAGCCATAGAAGTGAAAGACCATGGTGGAGGCAGGTCGACGACTGACCAAGGCGGAGCTGGAGGGATGAGGGAACCTGGTGGAGTCTGAGGACTGACAGAGATCTGAGGCTCCTCTACATTGCAAAGGTGGGAACATAGAGGAAGAACCGATGAGCTGGAGGGAACTATCAGAGACGGAGCGAAAAGATTGGGTGGTTTTGGAAAAGGAGGCAGAAGAGGGAGGCTGGGCGGGAGCATCATCGACGACACAGACAGGGTTGAACCAGCAGAGACACAGGAGATTCAGGGCTGGGCAGAACCAGAGGAGACGCAGGACATTCAGGGCAGGGCAGAAACACAGACTCTAAAAGTGTGGTGCTGGGTGAAACAGACTTGGTGCAGGGAAATTAAACAGGCAGAAAACACTCACTCTCCCAATCAATTAGTGCTTCATCATCAGCCATTGAGGGGGTAGGGCTCCACGACATCCCCTCACAATACACCAGTAATCCAGGGAGATCTGTGGCTCTGGTGTTGCCTCTGGCTCATCTGTGGTGGGGTCAGGCGTCGCTGGTGCTGGGCTGGTGGTAGTGGCTGGAATGCTAACTTCCTCCTCACTCTCGCAGATGGTGAAGGGGGAACCTTTGCGGAGGAGTAACCACTTCACATACTCCATTAAAGTCCCTAGAGGTTGTAGGTGTTTTGGCATTAAGGCTTGTCCGGAAAAGCACACACAGGCAGTCATCTTCATAAGGGTTCCCCTGCGAGAGGAGGAGGATTTTATTTACTAGATATTGTTTATTTTATTTGCTAGATCCATTTTGAAGTCAGTTCTTCTGTAACAAACAGTTGCTCAAGTTGCAAGTTGAGATCAGGATCTAAGAATCACAGCAATTTAATTTTGTTTACACAAACTCAAATCTGGAAACAGGAACTGAACAGACAACTGGATTAAATGCAACAAGAACTAACAATGAACAGAAGAAAACAGTACTTAAATACACAGAAACAAACCAATAAAACAGGTGCAGTAGGGGTGTGCGATAACACAATTTTTGATTGTGGATGATTAAAATGTCTCCACTATCTGCTTTTATAGAAATATCATAGTATCGTGTTACAGCGCACATTCTATCAGCTGCAGTTCTGGCACCTCCTTCTCAATATACTGTACAACACGACACAATCCACATCAAATGTTCATTAAGGGGTACAGTTACACTCGAGGGATACTGCACTGATTCACAATTACAAAAGTACATTATTTGCATGTGCTTTAAAGCCTTGCCGGTTAAACGTTTAATTTGCGTGCCGTTTTGGCATGCACTTTTTCTTAAAGCATTTTATGTTCGACAGAAGAAATAAATTCATTCAGGTTTAAAACAACTTGAGAGTGAGTACATGATAACAATTTTCATTTTTTGGGTGAACTTTCCCTTTAAAGGGGTCATATGATGCAATTTCAAGTTTTCCTTTCTCTTTGGAGTGTTACAAGCCGATTGTGCATAGATAAGATCACTGAAGTTGCAAAGACTAAAGTCTCAAAACCAAAGAGATATTCTTTATCAAAGTTAAGACTCTGCCACGCCCCCTAAAACGGCTCCTTCTAACACGCCCCCACATATCTACCTCACTATGTGGAAATATTAGCATAATGCCGCCCAAATGTGCACGCAAAGAAAGAAGGCGTGGTTTCAGTAACCGCAGTTAGTGTTGAGGCAGCCATGTCAGGGAGACGCTGTGTGTTTCTAGGCGAAAGCACTTTATTTGGCCTTCCGGAAGTAGATGCATTTAGGAATCTTTAAGATTACTTACAACAGAACAGCAATGCATTTTATGGACAACCGTTTCATGAACCTAGGAGAGGAGGTAATTCTGACTTTGCTATGACAATCTGGCGCTTCTGAATCAGCTACTGTTTTGTTATTAGTTTATTAGTGCTATTGACTGTTCAAATGCGTAGTTTTGCGCATCGTGTGTGTGTGTGTGTGTGAGAGTGAGTGAGTGCGCCACATCAAAGTGGAGTCAACTGTCTTAACCGTGGCTTGTGTACTGCAAACACATACCAGCTTCATCACGGTGTCTGTCACGAGACTCTGTTCCCCTTTCGGGCTCTGTCTTTACATTTACTTTGAAAGCTGAAGCTGCGATTATGGTAAGGGGCATTACATTTCTGACGAGTGCTTGCGGTGTTCGGCCAATCACAATGCACTGGGTCAGCTGGCCAATCAGAGCAGACTGTGCTTGTCGGAAGGAGGGACTTTGTAGAAAACTAAGCATTTGAGAGAGGCGGGGCATAGAGGACCTACAATAATGTACGGTATTTGAAAAATAATGTGTTTTTTTTTACATTAAAGCATGTCAACATATTCGGTTACACCAAATACACAAAATAATGATCTTTTTAAAAAAAAGCATCATATGACCCCTTTTAATATTAATAACAAAATAGAAAGAGAAAAATCACTCGACTGAAGAACTTTAATACAGTTGCTTTAATAAGAATCAATATACAAGTTATACAGTGAAGTGTATATAGTGTTTTATTTTTATATTTGTTCATTCAATTTCTTGAATGCTACTGCTAAATACACCTACTGTACCTGAAAAATAAAGCACGGTTTGTTTCATTTGTATATTATGTGTATTTGTAATGTGCATCTTTGTTCTTTTTTTTTTAATAACAAAAATAAAATAATGACAAAGATCTTTGGCCTAAATGTCTGCCATTCTTTTTTATTTTATATTTTGTTACCTTGTAAGGCTTTGTTTTTAAAATGAGTTTGGCTGTACTGCTCAACTTGAAAAATAGTAGAAACCAACATGACAACGAATCGTGATAAAATTATCAATTTACGTCATTTTTTCGTCATATATGATATGACATTTTTGTCATATTGTCCACCCCTAAGGTGCAGACACTAATCAAATTAAAACAAACTAGTGGCAGGAAAATAAGAACAAAGGAAACTAGGTCAAACAAGGAGAACTATAGAACAAAATCAAAACAGAACAGAACATACATGTGACAGAACTGTCAAACACCACAGACATGAAAAACAAATCGCTCTTTGCATTTGTCAGTCTGGTTTATCAAGGCTACATTTCAAATGCTAATTGTACTTCTGTTAAAGGGAATATTATCTTCAGCAAATGAAAAGTAGCAGTTGAGATGTAGAGCATTCGGATATGAGTGATCCTGTGAAACATAAGTCACAAAAAAAGCTCTAAGACTTGTAGAAGCAATCTAAAATGGCATGGTTGCTTCAGCAAATGTGTTATCTCATTGCTTTTGTTAACACTATCAGTTAGGTTGGGTATAGTGTAGGTGGTACATTTTTTTCAACGTGATAAAACATTTAGCACCACTCATTGGACATTTCACTTAAAGTGTTGCGAAACAAGCAAGAAGCAATGCAATATCATTTTAGAAATGTCGCCACAGGCACGTTTTTCATATGAGCCTGGGTTTGTTTATTAGGGTTTGTTTAGATAAGACTATAACCCAAAAAGTTATTTGAAATCACAAATATGTAAATTACAAAATCATGAATGAATGAACATCAGGTTAAACAAGTTGCTGCCTAAAGTCATCCTCCTCAGATTCATGAATGGCAAATTTGCAGCTCAGGAGCCGTCTATCACTTTTTGTCTATCACCGTCTTCACTATTGATTACAAACAAAAAGTCATACAGATTCACTCAGAACAACATGGAGTAAATAATTAATTTTCATTCTCTTAATGTACACATAACATGGACTGTACACAGTCAGTGTGTGCATTATGCTCCAGTCATCATTTGTTAACACCAGTGAATTCACATAATGCTGTAGTTAAACAGGTCTGGTCTGTTTTCTGGCTGTTTGAATAAGATGACCTGCATGTCTTTATTAAGCCATGAAAACATGGCTTTATTACTTGAAATAACCTGCAGAGGAGAGCTGTAGCGGTTTGCTTTGCAAAGACATGCCTTTCAGTTCAGTGCTCCTAAAATAACACGCATTCACAGAATTCAAGAGAAGGTACTTCCTTTGAGACTAAACACGCTTTCAAGTTTTTAAATGGCCTGAAAGGAACAATGGGAATAAACAATTGTACAAGAGTCGTTCAGCCTTCTTTCCACAAGAGAACAGAGGATGCCAAGAAAAGCAAGGGTGAATTTAAGACCAGAGTCCCATTTCACTGGAGGTGAATGCAGAGGAAATTCTGGTCACTTTAACCTGTATGAATCTACAAAAGACCTTAACTCAGTCGCTAGAGTGTGAAACTGAGAAAAATGACTTTAAAGATTTTTATTTGTTCAGACAAATTAATTATAGGTAGGACACTGGAAATCTGGCAGTTAGATGTTTTAGTAATGAAAATGATCTACATAAAAAAAAATTAGATTTTTACTCCTATTTTGAAGTTACTGTACTCTGCCTTTGCATTGTTGGCAAAAAGTGAGAAGTCACGCCAAGGCAAAAGGCAGCAACGGCCACATTATATCTCCATTTACAAAATCATTATTAACACCTGTATGAAATCTAGTGATTGTGGGCTGTCTCATAGACTATAACATACAGTAATGTGATTGTATTAATTGTTTTTTTCTGATTGTAACAACCAGACAAAACGTTAAACATGTGAGTGGATACCGTTTTGCAACCAATTTATTTGCAATGTTCACTAACGTTAAAGGTTGCAAGACATACTTAGCCTATTGCTTTTACATGGAATTGAATGAAAATAGCCTAAACTAAAATAACGACTTGTGGATTGAATAATGCTCAGAATGCTTGTGGGTCAAACATCTCCAATGATATTCATTGCCATGGATTTTATCGGGTTACAAGAGAAGGTAGGATATGGATTTAAATGTAAACTGTTACTACTAATTTTGTGTGATCATGCTACGCTGTCAAGGCATTTGAGTTCACGCGCGTGCAGAAGTGGGCAGCCCTAGACTGACAGGCTGGCACTGAAAGAATAATCTGCATTATTAAAAGAAAGAAAAAGTTTCAAGATTAATTATTGTTGCCACGTTATCTGGTCTTTACTTGCTTATAGTGCTTTGTTATATGGAGCAGTTTGGAAGATCGCAATCTGTCTGCAATTTTTTAGACAAACAAATTAGATGTATGAAATAACAGAATCTACACCGTAATTGAAACGCGGCAGGCTTTAATGGACAGTAAAACAAAGGCAGAATACCGTATAACTCCAGGCCAGCACAGTAACTTCATACTGACGCATTGCTAAACAAAGGCAGAGCACCGTAACTCAATTTGAGCGCTGGTGTTATACGGTGTTCTGCCTTGGTTTCTCCTGGATTTTTTGAAGTTACTGTTAAGATAACCCATTATTTTCTCGAAAAAAAACAACGAAACTGACCCAAGATACTTATTCAC